GAACTCCAGAGATAACCCAAAGCAAACAGTCATAAGGGCAGGTGACCCAGGTCACAGCTGCTCATTTGTGATATTGCTGCTGCTTGAAAGGGTGACTCTACAGAGCAAGGAGCGGAAGCAGTGGTCTGTTGAGTCATCCATATTTACAATGCTCAAAAGCAACCATGGAATCTACAAAGGGAATTGAGTTGATCTCCTACCTAGATTTTTATAATCAGAGTCCTTACCTGGCATGAGATGATTTTTTTTTCACCTGGACAGGTTTTTATTACACAAGTAGTACATATTCTTTGATCAAACTATAACTTAAGAAATACTAGAAAAGTCTATGCAGGGAAATTACATCCTGCTTGGGAAGGTGGAGTGACAGCTCAAAAGAGGAAGACCCTCAATGGGATGGATTGATTCAGTCACTGGTGTAATGGGGTTGAGGCGTCAGAGATGATGAGATGGGCACAGGATAGAGCAGGATTTACGCCTGTTGTACGTAGGGTCCGTATGAGTTGCAGGTGATTCAACGGCACATAACAACAACATGCAGGGAAATAGGAAAATTCTTCTCTTTAAGGCTAAACAGTCTATTTTCACATTTATTTTTCCAAACACACATATATGCATACATAAAACCCTGAACATGTTACCACTTAAATATTTTAAGTGTATTTTTAATTAATAAATATACGTGGAAAACTTATAAACCAGAATCCGGGCAAAGAACTTTCTGACTTGAAATATGAAAACTAGTTTGCTATAAAAAGCTAACAAACTCACTGCATTTTTACTTTAGGATTTATATCATCACTAGCATAGTGATAGAAGACATGAAGACAATTTCCTCCCCCCTCTATAATTGTTTAAAACCTACATAATAAAATTATTAAATATTATTGTAAAACATTTACATTATGTTTACATTATATCCATCAAGAACATTAGAAGATGTTCAGGCTGCTTTGAAGGAAATGGTAAAAAGTAAGGCTCCAAGAATAGATGGTATACCAATTGACATATTTCAGTTAACAGATGCTGCCCTGGACATGCTCACCAAGTTGTGCCAAGAAATCTGGAGAACAAAAACTTGGCCAACTGACTGGAAGAGATCAATATTTGTTCCTATCCCAAAGAAAAGTGACCCAACAGAATGTGAATATGGAAACTACAGAA